CCCCCCACTTCTGCAAAGCACTCCCCTTTCCCTGCTCCTCGGACTGCCCCCTTTGCAGGCGCCCACCTCTCCTGGCGACTCGTGACCTGTCCCTGGACGCCTCCCGAAGGTGCTGGGCCCGGGGCTTCCCTCTCTCGGCCTTGTACCGGCGTCTGTCGGTGCCCCACTGTCCCCCGGGGCCCGCTCGCGCCGCATGGGACTCTGTGGCTGGCGCTGGTTCTAGCCGCGAGCGGGCAGGGCCGGCTTTGGGCTCAGGGCCAGGACAGAGCGCGGTGCTCCTCAGCCCGTTGTTTGCTGTCCTGCCCCCTTTCCCTCCTCCGCGCCACCCCGCAACTCCAGGGGTTCGGATAACCAGGGAGGGTCACGAAGGCTCCATGGATCATCGTACTCCCGCCGGCGAGTCTGGGTGCCGCAGAGGCCTCGGCGCGTGACCTTTCTGGGCCTCACTCCCCTGCTAGCTCCCACGCCTGCCGGCGCCAGCCTCAGCCCCGCGCCCGTCGTCGTCGTCTTCGTCGTCGTCGTGAGTGGCGCCCTCCAGCACATTTCTAGCCCTTTGGAGCCCCCTGCATTGCTCGCCCTGCAGAACCGCAGACACCCCTGCAGCCGCTGCTGCCCTCTGGGACCTCGGAGCTGACAGCCCCGCTCCCACCCTGGCTGCTCAGTGGCAGCACCTGGGCCCAGAAGGCCCCGCTCCCAGGCTCCTCGCCCCAGAGCTCCCTGCCCTGCACCCCTGTTGGGCGCGGCCCCCAAGCTCCTTGCACTGTGAGGGACTCCCCAACACGCAGAGCAGGCAAAGCACCCTGTGAAAGCCCTTGCCGCCCCCCGGTGGCATTGCTGCCCCTGCTCCCCAGTCCCTCCCGCTCAGCACGGCGCTGCGGTCATTCCTTCTGCATCATTTTAGATATTGTGGTTTTTAAATAACAAACGCTAAGAATACCGCCGAGCCGAAAATATTTCCCTAAAACAAACTTAATGAATATTCAAGACATGGATTTTTCTGGGCTTAAGTTGTTCTGACAAATGCAACCTAAAATGAAGAAGGATCTGACCAGAACTGGAACGTAAGGACAATCCTGTGACCTTTAGGAGACAGGCAGAGCCTCGCATTTGGCTCGAGGCTGGAGCTTTTGATCCCCAGCCTTCACTTCTTCTGTGGCGACTTGAATTTCTTCTCAGGCGTCGCTGCTTGCTCACCTGTCCACGTGATTCAGGTGGGACTAACTTCATCCTCGCTTCCTCACGGGCTGGCTAAGCTGGTGAGCGTTGTCCCTCGCCCCCCAGTTACCGGCCCGAGGTTGAATACTCAGTCTGCTGCAACCAAGGGAAACCTGGCTCCGGGATTTGGTTCTGGGGAGAGAACTTTGCCTTTTCTTTGTGGATGAGGATGTGCGATCCGGAGCTACTGCAGCCACACTGACCTCAAGAAGAGAGCCTGTCAGTGCACAAACCCACACGTGTGAAGGCGGAAGAGTCCGGTGTCTGGGGGAATGGGGTGTGATCTGCAGCCAGGCACCGCTAAAGCCTCCCCCGCCTCTGGACATCTTAGGAGACATGAGCCAGACCTGGGTTACGTTTTGGTAAATTGCGATCATTTTTCTGACAGTGGACTGCCAGGGCTCTCCAGGGACCAAACACTCTGGAGATGTCGTTTGGGACTGCTCTGTCTCCACGTAGACCCCCGGCCGCTATCCCTCCAGGCTGGACCCCCCTAACCCCACTCCCGTTCAGCCACAGAAAATCCCAAGATGGGGCAAAGCCTCCACTTGGCCACAGTTAGTCCAGCCTTTTCCTAAAGGCTGCTGAGCGCGCCCCCAGCCCACAACTCTTTGGACCCACAGGACTCTGTGTACATGGGACGGATTCTCAGAAATCGTGTGACAGGGAGCCCCCAGGTGCGGTGGGGCTGCTGCTGGCAGAGGCCCTGCCCGGTCTGCCCCTGCCCCCGGAGGCTCTGACCTGTGCTCGGGGGTCCTCCACCCGCCCCCCTCCTCTCTGCGCCCCAGTCCCTCGGGGAGTCGTTGGCTGCACCCTGGGCCAGACTTGCTTTTCAAACTCACAGGGAGACGGCTCTGCCAGGGTCTCCGTAGGGGGTGGGGGTGGCTGCGGACATGGAGCGTGGTCCCATGCATCCCTTTGGGGGCATTGAGGGATGAGGTCTTTGAGGACCATGGGCTGGGGCCTCGAACTTTGGGTCCCAGTGGGCACCTCACAGGAGCCCTTGAGTGGACATAGGTTGTTGGTGCCTCTGGGGCTTGGGGACGGGCCCAGCCTCCTGGGCTTGGTGAGCAAGCCAGACGGGGAGTCTGGCAAGTGGGGGTCCTGCAAGCCGCGCCATGAGGGCTCGCAGCGCAGGGGTGCCTGTCTGGGGCGGGGAGCCCGGCTCTGATCCCGCTTGCCCGGCCTCTCCCCCCGCGCCAGCTGGTGGCCCACGGGCGGGTGCGTCTGCTGTGGGAACAGAGGGGCGGCTCCGACCGGCCGCCTCATGAAAGAGCCCTGTGAGCGGGGCGTCTGGAGAGAACGTGCACGGCTGCTGAAATAGCAAGTGCCGACGGGAAGGAGGGGGCGCCCCGATGGGGGGCGGGGGGCAGCTTGCTGAGGCATGTGTTCTGGAACATTCTCTCCAGTGGCCCCTTTGGCAGTGAGATGGAACGGCTCAGAGGAGGGACAGAACAGGACGCGCTGTTCACGGCTCGCATAAATTAACTCCGGGAACATCATGATGGCGAGAAAGAAAGCTTTAAGGAAGCAGCAGATTCAGGCTCCAGAATTGAGCAGGAAGAGGGGGGCACCTGCCAGAGCAGGCCCCGGGGCGCGGCCGGGGGCGCGGCCTGCAGGAGGCAAGCGGAGAAGCGGGAACTTGCTGATCACACACCAGCTGTGTGCCCTCTCCAGAGGCTGTGGGTTCAGCCCCAGAGCCACGGTGGTAAAGCAGGCGTGGCCGTGTGGCCAGCCGGCCGAGTATTTTTCGGTTTCTGGGGCCTGTAATGTCTACGCCGTACTGTGGCCTGTGCGGGTGCAGGGCCTTATGTCTGAAGACGGTGCACCCGCCAAAAAAGTGACAGAGAGAGTGAACCCCTGCAGCCGCAAAGTGGAGCTCACAGGCTCGCGCAGTGCAGGCGGTCAGACCTCCAGGGTGGGAAACACGCAGCTACCTGCGGGACGCGGTACCTGTGATACACCTGGATTTGGACCCAATTCCCCCAGAACTTTCTCTCTCAGTGTTTAAAATTCTGTCTTTAGATCTGTTGTTCCGTCTTAAAGATTTTTTGATTTTGGAAAGTCTTTAAAACTTCCAACCACCTGTTTTTTCCCCTAATTGTCTTTTTTTTTTTTTTTAAATTGAGGGTACGTTCACATTACATAAAATTAACCACTTTGAAGTGGCGTTCAGTACACACAGTGTTGTGCAAACTACCTCTGTCTAGTTCCAGAACATTCACCCCTGCCCCCATAAAGCACCCCTACCAGTTAGCTCAGCGGTCACTCCCCAGCTCCATCATCTTTCCTGACTTGGGCAGCCCGTAATCTGCTATTTGTCTGGATGGATTTACTTGTTGTGACTATTTTATGTAAATGGTATCATGCCACATGTGGCCTTCCATGACTGATTGCTTCCATCTAGCGTAATGTTTCCCAGGGTCATCCATGTTGGAGCATGTGGTCCTTTTCACGGCTGACTAATATTCCACTCCACATATCTTCGTCTGTTATGTCTCCATTCACCATCTGGGCTGTCTTCACCTGGTGACTGTTGTGAGCGCCGCAGCCGTGAGCACACTGTTGTCAGCTTCTCGGGCATCTCCCTGGGAGTAGAATAGCTGGATCCTCTGTTTAGCTTTTTAAGCAACTGCCAAAAAGTAGGTGTGAGGTGACACCTCATGGGGTCCTGGTTGCACCTCCCCATGGGCTGGTGCCGGCAGCCACCTCTCCACATCCTCGTTGGCTGGCTGTGTTTTCTTTGGAGAAATGTCTCGTTAAGAACTTTTTTTTTAAGCTGTTTTTTTGGCCTGTTTCTAAGTTGGATTATTTGTCTTTTTGTTGCTGTGCTGTGGCGGCTCTTTGTTCCGGATGCTAGACCCTTGTCAGACGTGGTTTGTGGATTCTTGTTCTTGCACGTTCACCTGCGGGTTTCAGCTGGAGTGTTAGACTCGGCTGGCGGGCGCAGCCGTGGCTGCTTCCCCTCGGGGAAGTGTAGCTTCCATGCTCGGGACGTCTGTCCTCCTGGACTTGTCTCTGAAGCACTTTCCTAACTACAGAATATGTCTGCACATGGCTTCCTTCTTACGTCTCTCATGGGAGAGGATGCCCTGGCCTCGGGGGCGCTTCTCCTTGGCCCATTGCCCCCAGCACCCGCACGTGCCAAGGCTGCTGCCTGTGAGACCCACGCTGGCCAGCGGCAACTCGGGGGCTGCGGGGGGCGGGTAGGGGACAGAGCAGGTGCACTGGGAGGCAGCCCAGGCTGTCAGCTTCCTGTGGCTTTTCCCCGTGGCCAAGCGCCTGGTCTTCGGTTCTTCCCTGGGGGCTGAGCCTGCCAGCACTGGGCCAGACAGGCCTCTCCTGATGTGTCTGCGAGCTGTGTCCGTGGCTATCCCGGGCCTGTGCCGTCTGGTGCTGTCCTTCTACTGTGGTCAGTGCCACTCGCCTCGAGTCTCTGCCCCTCCACCCTCTGGGGTCCCTTCCCCAGCGCCGGGTGAGGGACCGGCCCGCAGACGCCCTCCCCGCTGCCCAGCCCATCTGCTGGTCTCCGCCTTGGGCCCGGGCTGGAGCGTGTCATCTCCCTGCACGCTGATGAAACAGGGGTCAGCGCACATGGCCAGGCTGGAGGCTCCCACCCCGGGGCACTTGTCAAGATGCCAAGATGCAGTTTTAAAAGGGGGACTGTTCCTGGCCGCGCTCCCTCTAGCTCTGAGGGTGGGGAGAGCAGGCTCGGCCCCGCGTCTTTCCTGCCTCTTTCCAACTAAAGTGGTTCTCTCTTCCCTGCCCCCCACCCGCTCCCGCAGAATTAAGGCAGCAGCAGGTGTGAAAATAACGGCGGTGAGAGTGAGCAGTGAGGACCAGTGGGCCGTCCAGGAGGAGATCGACAGCGACGGGGACCAGACCACGGCCACGCTCACCTGCGTGGGCCACCTTCCGGACGCGCGGAGCAGGTGGGCGCCTCCTGGGGGTGCTGCACGGGCTGATGGTCACGTCGGGGTGTAGGGGAAGAGCCGGCCCCTGTGTTTGATGGGGCACTGCATGAGTGGGTGCTGCGTGAGTGGGGTGTGTCCCTTTGAGTGTCCAGGTGGCCGTGGCGGGATGTGCTGCTGGCTGGAGGCCTCAGTCCCGCTGGCCACACACTGTCATCTGATGCGCGCATCTGGTGTCAAAGGTGACCTGAGCTCGGCGGGCCACAGCACAGGGATTGAAAACTGCATTTTCAGATCTTGCTATTTGTATTGGTATCGTCTTCAGTGGCGAGTCCAGGCCTGGCTGGGAGGTAGAGCTGCTTGGAGGGTTGGGGAACAGGCCAGGGCTGCCCGCGGGTCCCCACGGTCAGCGTGCGGGACGCTGCTCTTCCACCTGGGCGTGTGGCTTTAGGAGGCCGATGGGTGGGGGAGACGTTGCTGTGGGCAGCTCATCCACAGGACTCCGGCCGTGGGTTCGGGGCCCAGTTCCCTGGGGGCCCTGGGGCTGCTGTGACTCCGCCCCAGGGAGCCGGCAGGCAGTGCTGTCTGCGCCATTTGGCTCTGGGCTCTGCCTCTGCACCAGCGCCAGGTGCTGGCGGGGGGGGGGGGGGGGGGGACTCGGGTGATGGCCAGGGCGGACAAATGGCCTCCTTGCTTTAGAACTACCCCTTCTCCCAGGCGGAGGCCCGAGCGCCGCTCGGCACACATGCCCTGGCTGAGAGGCGCAGCCGCTTCTGGGGCAGTGCTCAGGGGCCGGTGCCTCGCACGTCCGTCCTCGCAGTTTGGGCCTCATCCTCGAGGGCCTGCCAGAGCTTCTGTCCTTGCTCTCGCTGGACCTGCACTTTCCCGGGAAGTCTGGACCTGCCCGCTGAGCACCCCAAGCCCCAGTCATCGGTACCTGCAGAGAACCGAGGATGCGTATACTTGCTCAGCTGCTTTCAGTGGCTAGTGACTGAGGGTCCCCCTGAAGAGGCTGTGACACGGCCGTCCCCCACCTGACGTGCACTTGGAGGTGTGTGGGTCTAGCACCCGCGTCACCCAGGTGCGTTTGGCCTTTCATCTCAGCTGTACCCAACTCACTGCTGCCGTCCTCCATCTTATTTCCTCATGGCTGCGAAGTGGCTGCAGCTCCTCCAGGCATCACACACTCACCCAGCTGTATACAGAGACTGGAAGGGAGCAAGGAGGGGGTTTCTCCTCATGTAGTCTCTTTTTACCAGAGGAGAAGCCCTTTCCAGAAATGCCCCGGGAGCCTTCCCTCCCTTCTCATCAGCAGGCAGTGGGTTCCATGCCTTGGGCCAAGCAGCAGGGCAGTCTGGGGAGCGCATGTCTGGCATGACTTCTGGGCTCTGAACCATGGTCTTTGCTGTCCGGTAGGAAGGGTGGGAGGTTGGTGGTCGGTGAGCAGTTTGCCACATTCTTCAAAGGTGGTGTCCGTCGGGGATGACGGACCTCTGTCCGCACAGGGCCCCACGTCTGTGTCCTCAGGAGCTGGGTGTTCACCAGGAGGCTTTGTCAGTTGGTCCTTTGGTGCTGTGCCAAGGGGGCTTGGGTCCCTCGTGCCTGTGGAGAAGGGTGGGGTGAGCTGGACCCGGGTCTGGATGCGGGTGCCCCTGGCAGCGGCCTCCTGTCTTTCCTGGTCTCTTTGTCTCCAGCGGGCGCCCCCTCCTGCTGGGAAGTGGCCGCAGCGGTTCCAGCCTCCTGCCCGCAGCCTCGGTGGCTCCTTGGGGACACGGCTCTTTCCAACAGGCCCAGCGTGTCCTGGGCCCGGCCCTCGCCAGCTGCGGGCAGACCTGGATCACACACCCACCCAGAACCCCCCTCTCCAGCAGCTCTGGGGCCGGGGCCCTGGGGCTGAGAGTACAGGGGCGGGGCCCTCGGGGTGTGCCGGGGGCCGTCCCAGCAGCCAGCAGCGTCCTGCACGTCCTCCTGTTGCCGGTGCTCTGGTTTCGCTGCCCGAGTCCCTTGGTGCCCAGCGTCCGCGCGGCCTGCGTGCAGGAGTCAGCGGTGTTGAAATGTTGCCCTGACCAGGGGGTGATATTTTAACTCGATGGAAAACACCCACCTTGGTTATCACTTTTGTTGTGATGAGATTCAGTTTTGCTTTCTCATTAGAGAAGATAGAAAAAAGGTCAAGGAGGAAGAAAAATCAGCCGCATAAGCAGAGTGGCTGACGGGGGCGACTCGGTGCCTGCGCCCCTCCCTCCCTGATGCTCGCCTGCGGGATCTGACCTCCCCGGTGTGTGTGTGTGTGTGTGGGGGGGGGGCAGCCGCTGCTTCTGTGTGACAGTGTATGCTCCTCTAACATCCACTAAAGCCCGCTTCGTCATCTAAATAAATAATTGCTTCTTTTTACACTATTTTGTTGAATTGTGCCGGCAAATGAGGTGTGAAGTACAGGCTCACGGGCCACGTTTGCTGGCGAGAGACATGAACACGCGACTGTATCCCTGACGGGACCCGCAGAAAGCCGCGTCTCCGACGGCGCCAACCTTGGGCAGAATCGGGGTTTTAATAGAATATAATGTACAAACTGCCTGGAATTCTGTGATAAGAATTAAAAATGTGTTGTGTGGGGAGACTCGCGCGCTCTGTTCGAGAGGCAGCAAAGGTCTTCATTTGAAATATTTTAATGAGCACTCAGTGTGAGTGATAAAGATGAGGCCCCCAAGATAAAGGGCCAGCCTTGCTAAGGAGCGCCGGGGAGATGAGACTCATCCGTGTGAAAGTGTTGGGAGCAGATAAGGCGCAGCCAAGGCGGGGGTGGGGGGCGGCGGGGGGCCGGGCGGCAGGGGCCCAGCCCCCGGAGGGGATCAGCGGCCGCCTTTCCCGTGGTTAGAAACTGTGAGGCGGAGCACGTTTGCGCCTGGAAACCGGAGGGAGAGCCCAGGGGAGCCCAGGGGAGAGGAGTCTGCGCCTCTGCACCCAGCTCAAGGGCACGCCAAGGTCAAAGGCACACGTGCCTGGGAGGCTTCCCGGCTCGAGAGGCTGAGCCGGCCGCGGGAGCTTGGCTGGGGCAATTCGAATTCCGATCACGCAAGCAGCTGGGCAGGGCGAGGGGCTCGCCCGCGGCACGGCCTGGCACGCTCCCCGCTTTTGAACATAGGCCGCGCGTGTCCAGTGTCACCTGCCGGGCGTGGCACCCCCCTCGCGTGAGAATGGAGGCCTCTCTGCGGTGACACGGCTGCCCCTCGCTCTTCTGGAGGGGTCGCACCCCGCCTCTGAGGTGGCTTCCCCCGGGAGGTTTCCACGGAGAGGCCGGAGGGCCGGAGGCTGTGGAAGGTCTCCCAGGGTGTGCTGCCTAGTCCTTACTGTGTTTTAAAAATGTACCCTAAGGCTGTATGAGGCTCCTTAGGCAACAGCCCCGAGCTTGTTTTTTTTTTGGAAAACAAACTTTTAAAAATTGGAAATACTGGAGTGTGGGAGGCAGGCAGCTCTGTTCTTTCCCTTGAGCTGATGTGTGCTGGGGCATGCGGCTCCTGCAGTTCAGGGGCAGAGAGTGCCAGAGTCTGGCCGCGTTTGCCTGCGCAGTTCCTAGGGCGGGGCACCTGAGTTGCGCCCCTCCCTCCAGACGCCAGCTCCCGGGCCCAGCGGGCCTGAAGACTTGGTAAAATCAGTGTCCATCAGTGTCTGCAGACAGGACCGCCTGGGTGACTCGGCCGCCCCTCCGAAGCCGCGTTCACATCCGTGTCCTCTGAGTTTAGAAGGGCACGCTGTTTGGAGAGACTCTGGGGTGCAATCGCCCCGTCACTGCGTGCACCCTAGGCTTCACAATGCTCTCCGAGGATACACAGGGAAGTGAAGACCAGAGAAAGTGCCTGAGGTGGAGGCCGAGATGGGAGGGACGGGCTGAGGGTGCCGGCAGCCCCGGGAGCTGGGAGCGGGGAGAGGCAGGACAGCCCGGGAGCCTCCAGAGGGGCATGGATCTGCCCTCACCGTGACTTTGGCGGTCTGGTTTCCAGGTCTGGGAGTGGGTGCACCTCTGTCATCAGTCATCACGCCTGGGGTGGTGGTTATGGCAGACACAGGAAGCCAGCATGGGCGAGACAGCACCTTGGGGGACGAGCCAGCCAAGGCCTCTCCATCTGGGGTGCACGTCAGACGCATGTCATGGGGGGCCTGCCCAAGATGCCACCTGCTCCTTCATTATTTTTAAAAAATATTTTATTTTATTTTTGCATACAAGAGCTGAGGTGTAGGTCTCACCTACATCCAGGGGGGTGAGAAGACTCACCAGAGACAGAGTGGGAAGCAGAACAGGTGCATCTACTGAGATACACTGCTGGGGGGAGCAGCAGGGAGGCAGGAGAGATCTGCTGCGCCGTGTGGGTCAGCTCCCTGGGCAGGGATCAAACTTAGGCCTCAGCAGTGACAGCCTGAGACTTAACCCCTAGGCCCCCAGGGAGGCTTCCTGCTCTCTGCATTTTAAAGGAGACTCCCCTGTGATTTTACGGCGTAGTTGGTTTGTGAATTACAGGAATGAGCAAGGTAGTGACCTGCAGAAGATACAGGTGTTTCACTTTGAACACTTTTAGGGTTTGAAAAGAATGGATTTAGAAACGGCATCCTTGATCTGCCACAGTATTTGCCAGTGCACCCCGGGGCAGGTGGGGGTACCGGCCACCGCAGTCCTTCAAACCAGGCGTCCGTGCACAGAAATATGCCGTGTGCTGGGCTGTCTGTCATCCTTGCTGGAAAATGGCCTATGAGGACCCAGATCAAGGGGACCAGAGCAAGTGCGGCGAGGGGTGGGCAGGCAACCCTCGTGTCTGAGGCGTCTGTGTGTCTGCTTTGGAGAACTGCCTATCCAGCCCTCCCGCCCCCTTATTTGATTGGGCTCTTGGTTTTCTTGATGTTGAGTCCCACAAGGGCCTGTAGATCTCAGCCCTCGACTGTGGAAGTCACCTGGGGGTGGCGTGGCTGTGTGGACTTGGCTCTGGGGTTGCGTCTTCCCTGTTCTGAGCTGCCCGGCTGCCCCCGGT